ATGAATCTGGCAAAACGGTTCGAACTTTACGGGAGGCACTGGGATTCTGGAATGAAGAATCGAGAAGCCTCAACGTGTTTCTTTTCTGCTTCGACTGAAATAAGAGTATCATTTGTGCAGCTGTCACGGTTGGTATTCATGTTCAAATCCATGACGACTGGTACTAGTAGCTTAATTGCTAGCCTTTATTCGTCATCTTGTTTCAACGTCATGTTACTATTGAGTCCTCTCATTTATTCGTTTTCCTGTTGAGACTCTTGCCTCTGCCTTCGGACGCATGCGATGGGAGCCTAGGAACTATGCAGCAGTGAACCTGTACCTCGCGCTGAAGCATGCCGCCTTGTGGCATGAAGCCGAGGCATCCCCAACAGTGTAGGCTTCTGAGGACCTGGAAGGACGTGTTCACGTTTCATACGTACACCCGTAACTCAAACCTGCGAAATATAGGGGCCTTATACTATTGATAATTAGAAAAGGGTTTTGGGGCCCATTATACTAGAATATGGAAGCCATCAAAATATTATAGTAATTAATTGTTTAGGCCCCTACCCATGGGCCCATAGTAGTTCCTTTTTGGGATTACTTTATAGGATTCTATATAGGAGTCCCCAAAAGGAACTACTTTGGGGCCTTTGGTTATAGTACTTCTATAAGCTCATCTTTGCTGGAGGCTACAAGTCTGCAAGCACTCAGTCGGTCGATCTTGCCTTCGCAGTCCCAGGGAAAGTGGCCAAAATAATTACCAATACTACTGTTGATGATATAAATCCTGCATGACCCATAATTAGGAATATGCCTTAATTTCCATATATTCATCATTATGGGTAATGCAGGATTTATATCATCAACCGTATTTTGGGGGTTCCTTATTACAAGTAGAGTAGAATGGGCCCCAGAACCCTATTCTAGTTACACAGCAGTGGTCACCGGCGCACCCCGCAGGAGCAAACAGAACTGGGCTTGCCAAGGTGGCTGCGTGCCTCGGACTGCAGCAGGTAGCAGTGTTAGCAGGTCGGGGGTTTTGAAATTTGAGGGGTCCGGGCTCGATCGATCTATCTATCTGATTTAGAATTATGGAGATTCAGAGCACCCGGCACTGTATATGAAAACAGAAGGTTAAATAAGCGCAGATACGGGCGTAGATGGCCAGGTGGCAAGATCGGGCGTGCCAGTTTTCCCCTTTTTGCCGCAACGCTGCTTGCCCGACAAGATAGGCTCAAGCCAGCGGAGAACTCCACTAATACGCCGAGCAAACAAAGATCGCCATGGCTTTGCTCCAGCATGCCGTCCGCGCTGCTCGCGCCCCCCAGAGCATCCTGCGACAGGCGGTGGAGGGAGCTTGTACAGTAGTGGTACTGTAGTTGTAGTGGTGGCAGTGGTAGTGGTAGTGGTTGTGGTTGTGGTGGAGATAGAGTATTAGTCGCGGTCGTAGTAGTCGTCGTCGTGGTAGTAGTAGTAGTAGTAGTAGGAGGAGGAGGAGGAGGAGGAGGAGGAGGAGGAGGAGGACGAGGGTCGTGGTTGTGATGGGTGGCGGTGGCCGTGGTCATGTTCGTGGATGTTGCAGTTGTCGAGCACCGTGCAAGGCGCTTCCTACGGGCAGCCGATGGCTGGCGGTGCTCCGCCCGGAGGCAAAGCCTTTGCCCGGCCAAATCGCTCAGAGCCCGGTGTCCCCGGCCGCAGGACGGACGCTGGTATGGGGCTTCAGCATGAGTGATTTGCTGGCGATCGGATGTTTAGAGTTTCTTGTTATCATGATAGTGTAGTATTCCGTATTATACCACTGAAACCCTACTCTAATTCTTAGGGGCCCCTATAGGGTTCAGGGCAGGGCCTTCTCGCTACATGTTGGGGTCAGGGCAGTACTAGGTTGGATTCTGGGACATTTTTCCTTATTTGGTTTAAATGAGGGACCCTATATAAATACTTTTCAGGTTGTTGAAAGGCCAACCCAGAGTAACTTGGTAATTCGACCCCGAAGTCCCGAGCATTGCCGGCTCTATGGAGCGAAAAAGACGGCAAACATCAAGAAACGAGAAATGCCAACAGTTGTCAAACTTAGGGTCCCTTTGTGGGGTACCCTAAATAAAAGGTGCCGTACTATATTAGGGACACAATTTGGGACCATGATTTTGACAACCAGCCCTGGTACTTCTCAAGATTACCCTGAAAGAGCAGGGTCCTGTGTATTTGTTAACGAATCCGGATGTCTCCCGTCGATCTCTGAAACTACCCTAAGGCTCCAAAGTAGTTCCTTTTTGGGGTACATATTTAGAATCCTATAAGGTATTCCCAAAAAGGAACTCCTATGGAGCCTCTGGGTAGCAGGACTCGGCGAGCCAATGACCAAGCGCCATGCCGGAGTTTCCGTGCTGGGATGTGCAATTGCCATGGTGCCGGGGATGGAATTAATCCCACTAAACCTCCGAAATCCAGTTTTAATATTAGGGGAAGGGGGGGGCCCTCTAACATTAGGGGGAAGGGATTAGCGCTCGTGTTGCTGTGCGCATCGACTGTCGGCGTTTGCAAAGACGTTGAAAAAGCATCGTTGTTGCTGCAGCGGTTGTGGAGTCATCATTTTGTACGTCCTGGATGTGTGTGCGAGCTTTGGGATCCGGTTTAGGGTTTATTGTTCGGGGTTCAGATACCGAATCCAGAATGCAGGTGGCAGTGGGTGGCTGCGCACAGGGTATTGGACAACTCTTCGCCGCGCCCCTTGCCTGACATTGAAACGGGGTCGTGTTTTGCAACAGGGTCGCGACTTGACTCTAAGTCGGAGTTCTCTACAACAGTGATCCTGGAACAAGTCAGACCCTATAAGCCTTCACTCTTGAACATGCGACGTTCAACGATGATTCCTAAGCCCTAAGCCCCTAAGCCCTGAACCCCCCCCAAAAAATCCGAAAGCTCAGATTCATGGCAGGGTCAAGGTTCAAGGTGCGGCCATTTGGGGTTTATATATAGGGTCAGGGACTTCAACCTACGGTGTTTGTCATTCTTGATCACAGTGTGATAGAGGATCTGCAGAGACTCTGCAACGAGGTTCTTGCACGCTGAGGTGGGGCTTGCTATACGTGCCTCAATAATGACCTACAGTACACTATTTTGGTGTTCCTTATTATATCTATAGTATAATAGGGCCCCAAAACCTTATTCCAATTATTGCGGCCCCTTTATTAGGCTTCTAGAATCTTCTATATACTACACCCCCAAGACCTTATTCTAATTATTAAGGCCCCTTTAATTAGGCTTCTACCGAAAATTCCAAAACCCAGGCTGGTCGTCGGAATGGCGCGTAACCCATCCATGAAGGAGGACCTCTTCACGTACACGTTGATCGGGATGGGTGCCTTGGTCGGGTTGAGACTATATAAGTTATATAAGTCACCGTATTACCTTGTGTTAGAACCTGCTTTGCATTTAGTTGCAAAATTCTATGTCATGTTAGACTATCTTTATTTCACGTTTGTTCATATTTGGGCAAGCACTGGGAATGCTTAAGACTGCCGTACTGTCCGGTGCAAGCCAACTTTCGGAGCACGGCTAAATGCAAGCCCTTTTTGTTGGATGAAGGCAGCGTCTGGAGCGTTTTGTGTGCTTTTGATGGGGCCTCGACAAGCAAGTTTAAGCAAGCGGGCTGGGCAGGGCTGGGCTCTGTGGGCTGGGCTCGGGGCTCTGGGCTCTGTAACCGTTCCGAGCCGCCAAACCGTTCCGAACCGTCCCGTCCCGAGCCGTTCCGCACCGTGGTTCCGAACCGTGCCCAGCCGTTTCGAGTCGTTGCGAGCTATTCCGAACCGTTCCAAACCGTTCCGATTCCGAATCGTCCCGAGCCGTTTCGAACCGTGCCACCAAGTCGTTCCGAGCCGTCCCGAACCGTTGCTTTTGGCCTGACCCCCCGAAGAACATACACATATATATATATATATAATGCGACAAAGTCCTAAGCCACCACATTCCCTAGCCCCCTGAACACTACACCCCTCAACCATAAGCCTCTCTAGACCCTAAGCCCCTGAACCCCAAAACCCCTGAAGCCCTCAACTCTAAAGCCCTATGAGTCCCTAAGGACTACGCGGGAAGGCCCTGAGCTAAACCCTAAACCCAGGTTTCTTGGAGTTCCTTTTTGGGGTTCATACATAGAATCCTATAAGGTAATCCCAAAAAGGAACTACTATGGAGCCCTAGGGTAAACCCTAAACCCCTAAACCCCTAAACCCTAAACCCCTAAAGCCTAAACCCTAAACCCTATTCCCTAAAACCCAGGTTTCTTGGAGTTCCTGGCCATTGTGGTGATTCTCATTGCCGGACTCCTGCTCTACTCCGAGTGAAGAGTCTCTCGTCTCATTTTAGTGTTTATAGGGTTTAGGGATTTAGGGTTTAGGGTTTAGGGGGTTTAGGGGGCTTAGGGTTTGGGGTTTAGGGTTCAGGGTTTAGGGTTTAGGGTTTTTGTTTCGTCGCCTTTTCCGGTTCTTTGTGGAGCTTTGGAGGTTATATCTCGGAGAACCCAAATTCTGAACCCTGAACCCCTATTTCTAAACCCATTTGGGAGTTTCCGAAAATAGGGGACCCTAATATAGTACCCTAAGTGGTAGACAGTAGGCTCCCTATTGTAAGGACCCCCAAATACGGTACCCCTTATTTTTCGGAAGCTCCCATTCCCTAAACGCTAGGTCTTGATGTCAATGTTGCAGCTTCGAGGTTGGGAGAAGGTCGATACGACAACCTCCCGGCGACCCAATCAGCTTAGGATTTTGATGACGATGCAACCGCGACTATAATGGTTCACGAGAGAAAAAAAGGTCCGTGCAAGTGTCGGTCTTTGATCGGTGTGCGCAAGTCCAGGCCGTGACAGCTCTGCCGATACTGCAGCGGTGTTACACAATCATGTTACCACGTGTGCCATGGTGGCATAGCTTGACAGACACTGTGCATGGGACTAGTTTGTGGCCCTGCGCTGCATGACCCAACATCTCAGAACCCCTCGCAGCCCAGGGCAAGAATGGATGATGGACCTCCGCAGGCACGTCTTACGCCCTTACGCTATCGCTCCCTGTGAGTAGCTGCTTGCTGCTCAAGTGAAGTTTCACCATGTAGATCTGAAACCATGGTAAGCCAATACACCCGAATCCATACCCGAAAAGCCGCATCAACCCTTGAACCTATAAATCCTGCACCCGAATCCCATCCATGGCTTCTGTGGGAGGATCTCGTGGGACATTATGGACTTGTTTGGCCTAAAGAGCCACAAAGCACAAGAACTTGGCGCGTGGGCCTCAGTACGCTCAGCTAACAATCGGTTGCAATTTGTATGATAGTTATGCACGGGGCTATAAGGCTATGCTAGTTTTTCCCTAAACCCTAAACCCACCTGTTTGAAGGATCTCTTACTTACAGTTCTCTGGATTCCCTCTCGTATGGCTCCTATAATGCAGGCTCCTTGTGCGTATGCAGTCTTCCGGGGCCTTTGAGTTTAGGGTTGAGAGGTTCATTTGCATGTAGAGTCTACCTAACTGCACAGAAACATGCACAATAATGGCCCAACACCCATAAGAGGCTAGTGTTCGACATATTTTGTGATGTCTAGGTAGGGTTTAGGCTTGTAAGCCCCCATAAAGCCTCCCTGATGGAAGGAATTCACTGACCACGAGAAAGAGATGATGAGTGCTGGGGACTCAGCTTCGGCACTGCCCCTTCACGGGAGTTTCCGAAAATTAGGGGTACCTTGTTTGGGGTCCTTATAATCAGGATCCTGCTATTTTAAGGCACTAATTTGGGGTCCCTTGTTTTCGGGGTTTTAAAATTTTGGGTTTATGATTCTGATGGTTCATTAAGCTTGCACAGGTTGTGCGGCGATGTATCATACAAAACCATGAGCACTATGTGAATTATGCTTCAATGTTTCGTCTTACCTCCCAGGCGCT